GTTGAGGGCTGGAGAGGAGCCGGGAGCTGGCTGCTGCAGTCCCTGGCCTTCGCTTGCCGGCGCTGGGGAAGTGTGCTACGGCTGTGCTGGGAGGGGATTTTTCCTTCGTCTTGTTTTATTGCAGTCTTTCCTGACTGTCATTCTACTAACGCGTGGCCCAAGGGGTCGGGATGAGTGGTCCCACGGCGTGCAGGGGAATGATGTGGCAGAAAGACTTTTTTTGCTGCATCTCACCTCGTGTTATGCCATTAAGTGTAATGCATGTGCTGTGTTGCACAGAGTAAGTCCGTGAAATTTTACTGGAGGTATTTCTGGTTTTTTCGTGTTTGTAGGTTCAGGTTTCCTTCAAAGCCACACACAAAAAACCCCAAAACCCACTTGGGGCTTTTTGAGAAGTCTGAAAGCCTTATACATACAGGGGATCCAATCAGCGTAGTTAGCTTGGGTTGCCAAAAGCCTGTCAAGTAAATGAAGAGCTGGAATACAAGAAGAAAGGGTTCTTGCACAGGCAAATAACTACAGTACAAAACAGAGGGTAGAGGGTACTGGTCGATGGTTTCTTCCTCCCCTGGTGTTTCACAGGAATCTGTCCTGGGCAGTTCAGTCAGACCACCACCACCACCAATATCACCGCCAAGTGAGAATGCTTGGTGGTGATATTAACCTGTGGAAAAATACTACAGGCAAGGGTCAGCTGTGAAAAAAAAATGGAGAAAGACCGTATAAGACTGCCTCAGCAAATGAAATGGTAGAGAGGGATGTACACGAGCAGAAGGGACCAGCTTTCCATGTAGAAGATGGGCTGTGAGCTCACTGTTATTGCCTGGGAGATAGATCTTGGTGTTTTGACAAAACAAAGTTTTTGTGGGACTGGACTGGACCACTTTTCATAGGGCCTCTTGGTTCTGACAGTGGCCAAAAGCAGACGCCTAGGGAAGAGAGAGGAAATTTAGAGCAAACATAAGAGAGGTGCTTTCCACTGCTGTTGTACCAGCCTACAAGAATTTGCAATTCAGGGTCTTCCCTGATGAGAAGTTTAAACTCGTGGTAGGTTTTTGGTGGCTTATTAGCCAGTTGGATGTGTGATGTGGTCCATTTGAATGGGGCGTTAGATTTTGACATACATATTTTTGTAATCTGTGTACGGGTGAGATACCAGAAAGGATAGGAAGAAGGCAGAGTAATCCTAAATGTTGCAGGGCCAATCTACAGTTCTTGGCTAAAGAAATCAAGAAAATTCTTGAACTGTGAGCTGTATCCTTACAGTTACTCATTCACAAATGTACTTTGATGCAATCATGCTGGTATTCACAGTTATGACCTGAGGATTTTATGGGATGAGAATAGGAACTTCCACAGATGAAGTAATCTGTTGCTTAATCTGTAAAAGCGTTTCTGAGGAACACTTTGACACATCTGTATATATTTTGAAGAGGTGGGTTTTGCATGTTAATGACAGAATTTAGTGGGATTATAGAAATGTATGATTATAAACAGTTTCTGTTTTAAAAAAAAAAAAGTCCCTTCATTAAAAGGTATTTTTTTAAGGCTAGCAATAAAAGTGCAGACAGTCCTTTGCCTTACTGTATCTTAATATTCATCTGTGTGGTTTGTAAGAGATGGTTTTAAAGTCTGAGCATGTGTTCAGGTATTTGGAGAACCAAAAAAAAAGGACAAGCTCTAGTGTTTCTTATGCTGGAAAGGCGTAATACTAGACAGTTTGTGGGCTGGTTTTTAAAACAGTGTTAAGGAGCCTTTGGTACTGGAGGAACTGATGCTTTGTGGCCTGTAAATGTATTGAGAATATGCCTCTGTGTTTCCTGATGTACCAAAATCTGGGTTTGCTTAAAACAGCCAAGTTGAGAGTTCATTGGTTTAGTAAAGGCCGCTGTTTGCTTGGCACCAGAGCTGCAACTTCTTTTTATGTAAAGAGATGTCTGAGAAAATGGGCCCTATGTTAGTGATCAAAGAAAGACATCGCTAAATAGCTCCTGTGTGGACAATTACTGGTTTGTGCCTTCACTCTGTTCCTGCAATAGTGAGGTACTGCTGTGTTTGTGTGTGCTTTGTGCAAATTTTAAAGTGCAAAACTGAAGGAGTATGCCTGTGGTGTAAAATAAGTCTCAAATTAAATATAGGCTTTTCTGAAAAATACTTGTGTAAATAAAAATTCATAGAATCATAGAATCGTTTAGGTTGGAAAAGACCTTTAAGATCATCAAAAGTCCAACTGTTTAAAAACAAGGTAGTTCGTTTCAAGCAAATGTTTGTGTTGGTGGATAGGATTGAAAAATTCAACAGTTATAATATTTTTTTTAGTTTTTCTTTTTTTTTTTTTTCCCTCCTGTGGAGGTGTGAGTTCACCTTATTTAATATTATGGAATTATGTGTTTCTGTGTTTACAGGAAGGGACTGTCCAGAGGTTCCACAAATCAGTGTCTTTCCGGAAAAAGTGGAGTGTCTCTTCCAGCAGTTTTTGAAAGAAATGTGCGGGAAGCCATCGACAATTATACTTGGTATGCATTCCCTTCTGAAACAGTACTTCATTAATGGTATCTTGGCTTAAGTAGGTATTTCAAGATCGGTGTTAATTCACTAGTCATGCTTCTAGTCGTTCTTATGGACGACAACTATTGCAGCATATAATGCAGGATATAAATTGACCTAAGCCATACTTTGGAGGGTTTGAACTTTACTCCTGGTTTGTGCTAGGGATTTGCGTATTTTTAGAGCATAGCGAAAGGCACCCATGGAGCCTGGAAGGGAAGTCAGACTTCATGGTTAAACGCTCACCAGCATAATAATGCTTACCAGCATTGCAGGTCAGTTAACTTTCCAGAAGTTTCACTCCAGTTGGCACTGGTTAGGATTTGCCCAGCCTGTGTTTCTGACTGCCCTTCCTTTCACTGCATCCCAGGGTGGGTGGTAGCTGGCAGGGACCAGCTAGAGCTTTCTGAGAGCTGGAATCCCAGAGCCTGAGGTTTAAAGTACACCAGGTCTAACAGCATAAAAGGCATTGCCTGCAAATATGTAACTCAATGCTGTTTGAAACATTTGTAGAGACGTTATGCATACGTTATGTTTTGCATACGTTTCTTGTGATAGCTTCTAATAGAATTAAAGAAGGCTTATGTTATCTTTAATGTATAGTTTTGATGTGCCCGGTAGCTGCACTGGAGAAAACAAAATAATTGTTAGAGGTGGAAATGCTTGGGGTGTGTGTGTGTACGTATGTGTGGATATATTCTAGAGTGCCCTTACAGTTGCAATGATATATACATGTACAAAAGCGTAATACATGTACAAAAGCGTAATGCTGTAGCAGCAATTGCCTTTAAGGCAGTAAATGTGTCGTGGTTTAACCCGGCTGGCAACTCAGCACCACGCAGCCGCTCGCTCACTCCCCCCTCCCTCAGTGGGATGGGGGAGAGAATCAGAAAGAAAATAAAAGGTTAGAGCCGAGGGCTGAGATAAAGACAGTTTAATAAGAGAAAATAATAATAATAGTAATAATGAGAATGATAACAGAATATACAGAATATACAAAACGAATGTTGCACAATGCAATTGCTCACCACCCGCCGACCGATGCCCAGCTCGTCCCAAGCCGCGAGCAGTCCCCGAGCCGCGAGCAGTCTCGCCACAATCAACCGACCACCCGAACTAACTAACCCCCCCCCCGAGCATGACGTTATATGGTATGGAATAGCTCTTTGGACAGTTTGGGTTAGCTGTGCTAGCTGTGCTGTACTCCCAGCTTGTTATGTACCTGGGCAAGCAGGAGAAGCTCAAAAAGTCCTTGAGTAGTCTGAGCACTACTTGGCGACAGCTGAAAACATCAGTGTGTTATCAACATTCTTCTGGTACTAAATCCAAAACACAGCACTATGCTAGCTACTATGAAGAAAATTAACTCCATCCCAGCCGAAACCAGGACAAAATGGTACAAATAGGAGCACGTATTCATTGCAGTCTACTTAAAAACATACATTTGCAACTCCTTGCATTGACTCTAATAGCATGTCCTGAAAATCTTGCATCTGACAGGAGTATGTATCACTGTCCATTTATGTGATCAGTTGTGTTATTTTTAAAATATTTTTACAGAAAACCATTGTGTTCATTTTAATTTGTCTTCTTTTTGCAGTGAAACACTTTCATCACTTTCATCTAGCGGCTGTACGACACCCACAGACTTGAATAATTCTTGGTCTGGAATAAACAGCTATACTACTGGTTTGTCTACTGAAAGAAGTTCAGTTTACTCCTGGAGGGATGATGTACGTCACAGAAACTTTTACAGTACACTTCATCTAAGTATCGTAGAACAAATTAATTTGTGCAGAAAATGGACATGCAGCACATGTCCTGTAGGAGAAGTTAACCACTTTCATTCATTATAGCCTAACGATTAAGTATATTAATTGACTATTTAAAAAATAGTTCTGTTTGCAAGTTGGTATCGGTGCAAAGAAAATAAAAATATGAAATGATGACATTTGAGGAAAACAAACCTATTTTACCACAGAAAGTAGGCTTAGGTTTCTGAGTCCAAGAGAGTGATAAAATACATGTTTTCAAATATTGCTTAATGCAGGTAGTGTCTAAATTGAACTATTCTCAATGCTTTGAGTCATAAAGTGCATTCATGTGCGTGCATGTAAATAAATGTCCCACTCTGAGTAAATATTTAACTCTTAGCTAAGCTCGATTCTGTTTCGCAGATGGTGCAGTGAGGGGTTAAACCTGTTAGGGAGGCTGACCTCAGAGGCGTACCTGCTGCAGGCTGGCAGCATTGAATAAATCCCAAAGCACTGCAGTCACTGCCACTTTAATTTTAAAAAGCCATCCATGGCTGATGGAGGTAGTTCTGCCATACCTTTTGCATAATATCCTAACCTTTAGGGTACTGACCCCATCTGTCGCTTCCAGCCCTCCAGGAGAAAGCCTGACCCTGGATCATACAGTAACCTAGGTGAGAGTTGTTTTTTCCAGTGCTTTTCAGTGGGATCCCTTCTGTAGCCTGAAGTGGTTGGGGCACTCAGCTGGAAGTGAACAGATGTGATTTGAGCCCTGAGTATTATCATTTTTTTTCTGTGTTTTAGAGTGTCTCATACAAGTGGCCAAATATCTTTATGAACAGTGCTGCAGCTGAGGAGCCCTCAGCCAAGTGCTCCTTTCCCTATCACTGGAGAAAGTCAGGCTCTTCCCTGCTACCTTCATATGCCCCCACTCTTGCCCATTTCTGGTTGTGCTGAGTTATAGCTTCCGTCAAGAGGCATGGAAGGCCATTTCGCACACTGAGGGTTGTTTCATAACCACCAGACTATGTCATGCAGGAGGAAGGTTCTCCCCCTTGGCCCTCTTAGTTCTTTTCCTCAGGAAGGAAAAGTGCTGCTCAGAAGAGCAGGGAGCTTTGGTGCCGTGGGTTGCGGAGGTGCAATGTGTGTGCTTCGCTCTATGTTGGAGCAGGGAGGGAGCCAGACTCCAGACACCTTCTAACTGGTGTTTTCTGTTGGCTAATCCTAGACAGCTAGTTCCTTTTTGCTAAACCACCTTGCTGAGGCCAGCCACCTGGGTGTTTTTTTTTACACTGCAGTATATAAATCTTGTTTCCAAAGCAGGTAGTCTGAAGATCTGTTCCGAGGTGCTCAGCCAAATCGGTCCAAGTTGTCCTGTTCTTTAAATATTGTGGGGTTTTTAACATAAATATATATGCATATTTGCTAACTATTAATTTTATAATATGTAGGAATTTGATAAAGCCAACACACAGAGAGTGCATCAGTTATTCTGGGAGATTGATGAAATGCTGTTTGAAGGAAAAGTGACCTCCCAAACTGAGAGCCTGCAGGCAGAATGTGCAGACTGGGTTGAACAATTTCCTCATCTAAGGTAAGGAAATATCTTGCTGTACGAGGTTTAACCAGTTATCACTCTAATTTGAATTTTGGGGGTACTCTCATATGAATTATTTTTGATATATGGCATCAGTAACACCTTTGCATTCATATCTGGTTCTCTGGGACTGACCCGTGCCATAGTTATGCAGTAAGTCTGGTTGGTGGTGCGCTAGCAGCTAATGCTCTTTATTTTGCTTAATACAATTATTGCAGACAAAGATATTTTAGCAGAATGTAATGAGAAAATAATAATGCATCATTTTCATAATGATTTTTTCTAAATAAAGAATACATCTTGTAAAGAAATATATTTTTTTTTTTACTGTAAATGAAGACATACTGTGACATTCCAAGGAATTCAGTGTTAATTCTGTTACTGATTCTTCTAAAAAGAAATGAAATATGAAGGTGTACACATGCTTCATATATACTGCACCACCATGATGTCTTCCCTAGGCTATGTAAATCAATGTAAAATAATGTGTGATATTAGCCCGACAGTAAGTAGTTGAACAGATATGAGGCTGCATACATGGTTCACGAGAAGTGTTTTGCACAGATGTGCAAAATGCCTAGGTGGCCTGATGACTGCTGCTTATAACACAGGGGACAAGACAGTGTTGCACTGCATTGTACTGTCGTGTCTTCATAAATGATGGGATGTCATTCTTGGTGAGATGTCGTGGCTCTAAGCTATTCTAAACATAGACCTGCATGTGTCTATCTTCTAGTCAATAGTTTAACACCATTAAAAAGAACCTTGTCAATAACTGTGGTATGCTTTCAGTGCTTTTAGATAATTTGCAGAGGCTTGTTACTAGTAAATACAAACTAAAATCAACTAACAAAGCTTGTCACGCTTTATCAGGAACAAGAAAGAATTGTTAAATATAACTGAGGCAGTTTTCACTAGCACAAAGGTATGCTTTGCCTTTTTTAGATACTGTAAAAATTAATGGAACATGCATAATACAGAAACAGGTTTTTGTGCTGTGTAGTTCATTCAAAATATTAAATAATTTCACTGTATTTTCAGAGTATTTTCACTAGGTGGAATTTTTTTTTAAGTAAGTCCCTGTACTTAATGATTTTCTGATTCAAATCTAATGCTGACAGTACCAGCAAAGTCCAAGAGGTTGAAAGCGAACTTAAGAAATCTGGGAGCTCTGTGTCGTTTGGTACTAAGGGATGTGGTACATCCTGTGCTTTAAAAAGAAAAAAAACCACGTTATTTTCATTATTAAACCTTAAAAGTCAGTTTGTGTGGACTAGTTACCCAAAAGACTAGCTTCTGGGATGCCAGATTAATTTCTGAGAGTTGTGCTTGAAAGAGCTTTCTGTCTGTCTTTTTTTTTTTTTTTTTTTTTTTTTTTTATTTTATTTGTAAAACAGCTATGTCGGCATATGAATACTTAGCTTGTGGTAATAAATATACTTGAGAACTGTCATCGGTACGAGAAAGATCTGCTTAAATAGAAAGCTTTTTGTTCTTGGCTTACAAAATAAAAAATAAAAAAGGCTATTGCTTAGAGCTTCATGTGGCATAAAGTGCTGTTTTGTGAAAGGTAGTCTCAAGAAAATGTGTTCAGGCGAGTCTGAACATTGCTGCTTGCACAACAGCTGCGACTTCTGAATTCTTTCAAGATCCCTTGTGAATTCTAGTGAAACACAGTTCAGTAAGCGGTGATGATTATTTACCTGTACTGTGTTCAGAAATTATCTTATAGAGTAATAGTTCGTACATTTAAGTAGAGTTGCTTTTACCTTTTCTCTCTGCTGCTATGCATTGTGCTGTTGCATTTTGTGCATTTTCTGAACGTTATTTCTAGTCTTAACTATCCATGTAAGCATTTTGGATTAGGACTTCTGCTCACATTGATGGACACTGGAGTTGGATAAGAGAAGTCATAGCAGATGTTATTTGTCTTCTGCATCCATTTTTAAACATTTCTTATGGAGTTTTGATAAGAAAGGAAGTGTGTTTACTTTATCAGCCTTTACAACAATCTAACAAGTTTGACTATTTTTTTTTTAACTCAAAAAATATAGGCTAGAATCTATCTTGCATAAATCAACTTAAGATTAATGACTTAAATACTAGGCAATGTTAATGTATTACGCAAGGCCCCGGCCCCTCCATAAATTCCTTTTTTCAAAGCAAATATACGGTGTCCATTCTGATTGCCTACGGTTTACAGGTATTTGTATTCTTGATACTTGCATTTGAAATGTATTTCCATCTAAGATGTCGCTCAGTCTCCTCTTTTTATTCAGGGTTCTAGGAAAGCAGCTCCTATTGCCAAAGGATGAAGGCTTTCAGCATTTTCAGAGTAGAAGTGATAACTCTGTGGCTACTAAGTGTTTACCTGGCCTCCATGAAAGTACCAGTAATATAAAAGAGTATGTTCATTTTTTTTTCAGTTTTCGGTCCTCCCCCTTCACAAATATGTACAAACATTACTTTTGTATTACTGAAACATTTCAGTATAATTAAATATGCACTTTCTTCTTTCTTTGAATATTTAATTCTCATTTTGTTGATATTTTTTCAGGCTCTGCATTTCAGGCTCTAAACTGATCCCAACAGCATCTCCAATACATAAAGCACTAGATTCAAGTTCCACTGGCATTTCTGCCTCTGATTCATCCGTGTATTCATTCCTGGAAGAAGAAATCTATGATGTGGATGGGAAAATAGAAGAATACCTTGCCTTTGACAACAAGGAACTGTAAATAAGAGATATATGTGTTTTTGAAGAAAATAATGAAAAATTTTCAACGAGCCCAGTTAGGGTTCATAAACTTTGTTTCTCTTCTGTAAAATACAGTTCCTTCTGTCCCTGTATTCAGTAGCACAGTGGTCAGAGCACTCACTGGGCATGTGGAAGATTAGGTATGTTGTCTTTCTAGTGGTTCAAAACTCACATCTCCCATGTCAGAGGAATGTGCCTTAACCGCTAGTTGTTTTGAGGTGTTTTGTGCATGGACATTTGATAGAACAAATATTTGATTTTGAGACAGGGAGCGGAATGAAGTAATCCCTACTTCCCAGGTGAGTGCCTTGACCACCAGATTGTTTAGGGTCATTACACTGTACAGTGTCCTCATTGTCTGCCCTAAGGAATCTTAAATTCTTTCTGTGCAGCGTATCACAGCTTTACGAGGAGAGGTGCAGGATACAGCCCATGTTTAGAGCACTCTCGTGAGTGACAGGAGTACTGCAGCTGTCTTCTTGACAATGCAACCGAGGTTTCCCATGGCCCAGTTGAATGTTGCAGCAGCTCCTGGGTAGAACAAAGACCCTAACGTGCTGTTTTCTAAAAGGCCTCTACAAGGGGGAAAGTTTTATAGGACTAGCAGGGCCCAAAGCATAACTTTTTTGTGCTGAAGCTTGATGCATTTATGGGAAAAAGACATGCGTGTTCTGAAAAACTAGAGAAACCAGGCTGAGACCCAGATAGACCCTTTCAGTCCTGTGTTTGAAAGAGAGGGCCTGGATGCCTACCATTTTGGAGAGGATTTAGGATTAAGAATCCTTTTAGGAGTGAAGTATCACTTTTTTTTGCTAAGTAAGCAAACAGTTTGGGAGAGGGACTTGACCGAAGGTGTTTTCCTTTGTGCCTTGCTTGATATGTTGTTTCCTTCTCAGGATTTGATTCTGCTGTATCTTACTCTCCATAACTAAAACATTAGGAGTTACAAAGCCTGATATGAAAATAGCTTGGTCATTTTGTGAGCTGGACCATTCAGCCAAGTCTCAGTTGTAGTTAAGTTTGCAATCCAGTTTGAGGAAGAAGTAAAAGAAGTGGCTGAGAAGAGAAAGGGAGATAGTGGAAACCAGTATCAAGTTGGGATCATCCTTGAAATCTCAAACCAAACTGCATTTCCTTAGAAGGAAATACCATAGCATTAAAAAAAAAAAAAAAAAAAAAAGGTTAAAATTTTCTTCCTAAAAAGTGCATTAGAAGACCAAGTTAGGGAATATTGCCAGGCTGTGCTTCCCTAGGTGGGAAGGCAGGGAGGAGAGTTAAAAAATAGTAACTGTCCACACAGTAGTGGAATTGAAGGAGGTTGAGCATAAGGCTATGGGCTCTGCTATTTTTGTCAGGCTGCAGAAATCCTTTAAAGTTGTTTGATCAGTGGTGAAGTGTTGCAGATGTGTGCAGGTACGCAGGACGTGCTATAAAAGAAATGTTCTATGTGATAGTCCTCGTGCCAAATGCAATGAACAGTAATTCCCTTATGCTTTGGTAAAAAACATAGGATTTAGTCTCAAAATACTAAGTGCCGTGTATAAAGCTGTTCCTTCTAGAGCTGCAGAGCTTTCTGTTGTAAAGCCCTAACTGGATTTTTCTATATTTTACCTGCAAGCAAAAGCAAAATAAATCATTATATGTATACGATAGCTTCTGTTCCCATAGGCACTCTGTGCGTTTGAATTTGAATTTTTTTGTGATTACATCTGGCTTGCTTTTCTTCCATATGAATGAATCTATTCATCCAGTGTATTAGAAGGGGAAAAATATCAAAACCTATGGGAATTAATTTGAATTTGCTTCCTTTATTAGTGATGATGAGAGTTGGGAACAACAGAAAATGCGTCTTGCTGAGAAGAGGAGTAAGCGTGGCATTCCCCCTGTTTCTCCCAATGCCTGTATCAAAGATGCCGTGGCTTCTGAAGTATTTGATTGTATCTGGAGCAATGTAATTGGAATATTGGAGGAACTGATTAAAAAAAATTGGGAAACTAGTATCACAGGTATTTGGTATTTTTAGATGCGGTATTTATTGAATCTAACTCAGGAAAGTGATTTTTTTAGATTTTTTTTTTTTTTCTCTCTCCTTGAAGCTTGGGAAATCTGGTTATTTTAAGACAGCCATGTTGGTAGTACAGCATTATAAGATATGTAATGCCTTGCCATGTGCATGAGCGCACACACACACACACACACCCCCTAAAATATAAATATTCCTACTATTTTGAAGGGAATTTTGTATGAGGTGTGTGGAAAAAAACCCCCAGCCACCAAAACCAACCGACCAAACAAAAAATTCCCCCCCCCCCAAAAAAAAAAACAAACAATCAAACAATCCCCAAAACAAAAACCAAAAAAGAAAAAATGAAGACTGAAAGAGCTTCATTGCAGGAGAGCAAGTTTAAAAAAAAAAAAAAATACTAATCACTGGGTGGGGATACAAATTGATGCTGTTAGCAGGGGGTCACTGATGACATGATCTGTACCTGGAACCGAGGAATCAAAGTCTCCTAGTCCTCATTGTTTGAGCTTTGTTAATAAAAGGAACCCTTAGGTAGTCAGATTGTTAAAGCGAGATAGACAGACTTGCTGACAGTGCAGGACTTCATGAGTTTAATACAGGATGAAGAAGTGGTGGTGCATGCAATTTTATTTTATTTTATGTTTTTGTCTTCTAACAGACTGTAGTGAAGAAAAGCAAAAGCTAAGAAAATTAACTAGAAGTGAAATTCTGTTTAGTGTGTGTGTGTTGTCTTTGAAGGCTGAGGGAAATTTCAGTTCTTCTTTTAATGTATTTTAAAAAGGACAGTAACAAAAGAATGCCTGGGAGTGAGTTTTGGAAATCACCTCAAATGTAAGGTACACTCAACTTCAAATACAAATTTACAGCCAAGTAAGAAATGGCAGAATTTCTCAGAATACTTGCAGCATCAGAATTTAACGTTTCAGGTGTTACTGAAATACAGAAGGGCTTTTCACATCACAGGTGGGTTGTTTAGCTCAATATTATCATTTAGAGAGGATAGCTTAGCAGTTTTGTGATAGGCGTGCTTTTTTATTTTTGTCAAGGGCATCAACTTCTGACAAACAGATAGCTAACCAAAGTATGTTGACTAGGAATATAAAAGAATTTGGGTTAAGAATAGAATTAAGATGGTGGTATATATCCGAAATGAATCAGTGTGTAGCTGCCCTCAGGCAAGGATAGGACCAACAGACTTATTTTTCTGTTAATCTTTTTTTTTTTTCTCCTGTAAAAAAAAATCTTTGGGAAATTTTGAATAACATTCCAAGAGTCTTAGCAGCATTTTCTTCAACAAACACACCCCTCCAACCCTACTTACATAGCCCAGCTTGTTTGTCAGTGTCAGGAAAGCATAAACAAGTGGAAAATGCTTTCAGAAAAACATCATTTATGGTATGTGTTTAAATATCACGTAAACTTAAAACTATATGAAAGTCTTTATTTATCGTGCAGTATAATATTGTTTGAATTTCAACAAATGATGGCTGGTAAATGTACAAAAAGCAAGTTATTTCCTGGACTTTTTTTTTTTTGTGTACAGAGGGTGACAAACAAGTGGAAAAACTGAAAGCTGTTACAGCAAAACTGCCACATTTGCCAGTCATTCGTATTTCAGCGGATGCTGGGAGCATTCCTCTTTCCAGAGGCTCTGAAGCACGAAGTGTATCTTTTGGGTCTCATCTTGTTTCCTCGCAGGTAAAACCAACTTTCCGTCAAATGGTGTTCTTTTTTCTGCTGACTTTGGACAGAGTCCTTGTTGAAGCTAAAAAGGCACTTTTTTCCCCCTTTTTTCTTTTTCTTTCTTTTTTTTTTTTTTTTTTTTTTAAATGATTAGGTAAAGTCATCTCGTTTAAAGTGAAGGTTCATTAAACATGCATTTCTTGTTTACTATCACTTGTTCTTCTTTGGTGGTTCTTAAAAGTGCCGTTTACCACTAAGATACTGCTGAAGTTGGTTTTCAAAAAACCACTTCTTAGACTGTATTCCATCCATAGAAAATAATTCTGCTTTTATTGTGGTCCAGTCATTTACTCCTGGTAGAATTAAGAAAACAAACGAAGCTCTTCCCTGGACTGCAGGGATGGGAAGTTGCAACTTAAAGTGCTTTACTTGCAACCCTGTGAGTTTCAGAATCTCCCATTCCTTTTTGTTTCCTTTGCCTTTTGCAAAAGGGGACTCTGCTGTACGTCCGCCAGTGCACTGGTACTAGGCCTTAAGTGTCTTTGTGGAAGCTTGTGTTTGCACTGATAAAATGCTCTTTTTGTCCCACTTGCTGCCTCCTCCCTCTGTCGCCTCGCTCCCGTTTTGCACACTTTTCCAGCCACTGCTTCTGTTTCCCCCTCTGTCTCTCTCTCCGTTCAGTTCAAGCAATTCCATTCTATTTTGTCTGCTCTTTTCCCATGCTTGCTAGATAGCGAGATAAGAAACATGGAAGAGAGAGCACAGCAGTCTCAGCGCTCCCTGCTCGCACCCTTGGTTCTGTAGTGGTCCCAGCCCAGAAGAAGTAAAATGCTTAGATAAGGAGTGCTCAAGGATCTGTGCCCCTGGGCTGGACTGTGCTGAGGGAAAATGGAAACTTCAGAGAGTCAAACTCCGGCTTCAACTGAAACTTACCTTGCAAATTGAGTTGCAATTCAGTAACTAAATTACCCAAGCTCTGTTTGTAAGAATCTATTTAAAATAAGCAAAACAATGCATTTGCCCCATGTACTACTGAGAATTCTACTGAAACATCTTAACAGAAACTTCTTTATGAAACAAGTAAAATATCTCCTAAGTACGGGCTTTTTGAGGTCTTCCTTCAAAAAAAGTAAAGGTTAATGCATATTTGCTGCTTTTACTAGGTTCACCGTTTCTCCAGCAACTTCTGTAGTGATTTGAATGGTGTGATGACAATTCAAGCAAAACCGCTCCAACAGAGGCATGTTGCCACAGTAGAAAAAATACAGTAGGTGTTGGTATTGACATTTTCAAAATGCGGCATAATTCTTACTATGTAAAAGATGTTTCGCAATTATAAAAAGGCAATAAAAAGGCAGTCATCTCCTTTGGGCGTATCTCTCATGTGACAATGATTTGTAGAGGTTGCAATGATAACTGTTAAGAAATCCTTTTGCTTTTTTTGTCTTCATCCTCATTCCCTCTCTCATTCTCCTTCCTTTTTCCCTAGGAATGAGCAAGAAGACAAACAGCATAGCATTGGCTCCAGTGCTCCAAATTCAGTGCACACTAGGTTGTGGAGAATTGCTGATAACAGTGTTCTCTCATCATCTCGGGTACCACTGACATCTTCTAGGAAGCTACCAAGCCATCGTAGGTTACCTTCTCTCACTTCTGACCAACTCTCCTCAAAAGCTCCTAATATGTACAATGATGAAATCCTTAGGGGGACTAAATTGTGAGTTTTCTCATTTTATTCTTTGCTTTCCTCAGAATTTTACTGAAATTTCACCAGTGAAGGATTTTGCAAAATCTAACTTGAACTAACATGAAATTTATTACTGATTCTAGAATTCAGAGAGAAAAAGAAAGCAAGCAAAACCGTTTGAGGAGAAGCTTTTGTTTTATTTTTTGTTGCAGTATTAGTTGCTGTTACTTTTGTAGCTGAGCTCTGTAAAAAAAAATGTACTGCTCAATAATTTCATATTACTTCAGTGAAGCAGTCTTCAATATGATTTTTCCTAAAAAAGGAACCCTTAAAATTCTGTAGGGGTGCCAGCTCGGATCGTTTATCTTCTGCTCGTGCACCTACAACCCGGAACAAGTTACCACCAATAAACTCAGAGGCTGTTGAACAGTATCTTTCAGTACCTCGACTGCAACAGAGCTCTGTAAGTTGTGTTTATTTTTGTACTGGTGAAGAATGTCAGGCTATTTGAAAGTAAATTGCTCTGTGTCACTGGTTGAAATGAGCAACTTTACAGCTTGTGTTGGTTCATATTTAATACATGGTCTTAACATGCTAATGTGTGTTATAGTAGGGTACCATTAGAATGCAAGAGAAGCCAGTTTAAAACCTCAGGTCACAAACAGATCATGGTGGTAACACTGTCCTCTGAAAACAGAGAAATCTGGTGGTTTTTTTTTTTAAAAAAAAAGATTAAAACAACCAACCAAGCAGATAGTAACCTAGCACTTATATGCATCTGGATTTAAATAGCTCTTTTCAGTGTTTTATTCATTAATGTTAGGTTATAAGAAGTGGAAAATTATGCTTACAGAAATAGAAAAGGATGCTAACTGAAAAAAAAAAAGAAATCTTGTTGATGCTAGCCTATTTTTGAAGGTTAGGGAAGTAATTAATCACCATCACAATGAAAGTAAATTGACATTTTGGTATTATTTTGCTTCTGAATAATATTTTGAATTGAGACACATGTAAAGTCTGTTGTTATTATTTTAATTAATATAAGGCTTTGGGGATTATAGACTAATATTAGGGAACAGTCTCAAATCTCTTTGAAAAAGATGACTACCCTTAAGTTACCTTAAATCAGGGCTTTTGGTTAGTGAAAACTTATTTTTCTTCTTCTTCTCTTGTTGTTTTTTTTTTGTTTTTTTTTTTTTTTTTGTATGGCAATGGAAAAAAAAATTATTTTTTTAACCAATTCAATTGCTGCATTCTCTCAATGCTCCTCTTAATTCTCTCAGCATCGAGGACGATATGCTCATAGCAGAGTGTCAAGTGCAGTGCCTGGCAGTACAGAGCAACAACCACTCAGAGAAAGAACTGTTATTGTTGATCAATTTTCAAGGCCCAATACAACTCATACATTCAGGGTATGTTACAACGTAAGTATAGAGACATGGGATTCCTGCTTCCGTTCACGGTCTTACTTACTGTGTCTCTCCTGATTTCTGGTGTACAGGGATTCCTGCTACCTGTAGAGAAGAGGATGTTAAAAGGCTTTGGGAGGGCGTGGGACCTTCAAAAGCAGAGAATGAGGGAGGATTTTTTTTCAAGTCTAATGCATCAAACAGTTCCTTTGAGGGTGTCTGTGCACTAGAATTGTGCAGGTTTAGTACTGCTTGGAGCTTTGCAGCTTGGTAAGGCTGGACCAGATTGTAAAAACTGTAATCAAAACATTTCAGTAGATCAGCATACCATACTAGCTAATAGTAGGTCTTTCTTTTTTACAGACAGACACACCTCAGAAGAGATCACTGACTCCCATGGATTTTGCTAACCACAGAGGGACAGGTCAAGGATTTTTAATAGGTAGGCAAAGTAAGCATCACTTGAAAGGCAAAAGGCCAACAAAACCTATTAACCCATAGCACAGTCGAGAAGTAAAGTGCTCAGGGAGAGCAGTTTTGGCATAGAAGAACAACAGGTGTGCTTGGCAGGATCTTTTGAGTCTGCTTTTGAAGTTGCTTGGTCTGAGATAGCCCTAACTCTGACTGTCAGGAACCCTGCAAAGGTTCTTTTCATTGTTGTGATGTGGAAGGAAAAGGATTCCCCCTTATTCTCCCCCCCTCCCCCCCGCCCCCCTCTCCTAATCTCCTAAGATTTCAGCATATTTACAAATATGGCAAGAGTATGTGGTGCACAGCCTAGATGTTTTGCAGCTGCTGGAGTAGCAATAGAAATTCGTGTTTGTGAACTGCTTCATGACATAAATTTTATTTTACCTCCCATATAAATACACCAAATTAGTAAACTTTCTATATGGGGAAAAATAAAATTGAAAATGTGCATTTTTAACATAAGTATAAAGCTCTCTTAAATAAATTTTTAAAAAATCAATATTGATTTGCCATTATGTCTTCCATTTGTAACACCCAAAAAGAGAGCAGCCCTGCGTGGCTTACTTAGCTCTGTTGTTACAGTAAAGCTAACTAGCTCATTCCTGAGGTATTTGAGTGCTTGTATGTAACCTTTATTTGTTTGGAAGTTCATCAAGTTTAAGTAATTATATAATTGGTGTCATTCTGTAAAAGGTGATGTAAGAAAAAGGGCAGGTTAGCAAACATTGATCTGAGCAGGCTGATGGAAGTAACTCATACATAATCTTGGAGTGTCTTTCAGATTCTGCCACAATTAACAAACAATTTTTTCTAGGCTCACAGCGTTACTACAGATCCTTTCAGAGAAAGCCTCCAACTGCAAGGAAGAGATTTCAGATTGCTTCTTAACCCAGCTTAGGAAGAAACAGAAGCTCCCTGCACTGAACGGAAGACTGAAGCACTAAATTTGCCAGCTATTATCTTGTGTAACAAATAACACATGCAGTACGCTGGTTTCTGCTGAGCCTTGCAATCCTCAGGATGCCTCTATCACCGGCTTTTAAAGTTGTCTGGCCAGAATAGAGCAAAATGAAATAAACGGTTGAGCTTCCAGTTCTGTTTGCAGAGTCAAGATGCTGCTGCTGCTGCACTTTCTTCTCAGGCATTCCTCCTTTTTCTGTCTTTCCTTAGGGAATTGTTATTTTATCTATAGAAGCAAATAAGTTATGTTTAGACCTTGAAGTCCTATTCCCACTTTGTCATGTTTCCTCAGTGTTAAAGATGTTCTAGTTTATCCAAAACTCAGTCATATATAAAATCCATACTTTTAAACAGGAGTTTGGTATCTCCTTTTTAACTGCTGTTTTAACATTTTTCCATTTTTCAGTCTGTGGTTTTTGCAGTTCCTCTCTTGTAAATACTGTCTGTCCCTACTTTTTCTTCTTCCTTTAATTCTTTTGAGATGGAATTCGTTCGCTGCTTCTGCTTATGCTGTTCTAATTGTCAGTAACTATGGGAACTGCTGGGATAAACTTTGTTTACAGGAAGCAATGGCCCTGCCAGGCCAAATGTGTTTATAGATGCTGAGCAATTGAATCTGCATGCTGTCAAGTCAGTAAGACTGTTCCCGCTTCTTGAGATTTCTTGTACAATAGCAGGCAATATTTTATAAATTAATCATATTTTGAAATATCTAAGCCTTCAGAGTTTTAACATGAAAATATGTACTTAACTGATGAAAGCATTATTTTGTACCTCTTTGTGTAGACCCAAAGTGGAGATTGGAATTGTGTTCTGCCCAGAGATCACAGCCCCGATCAGGTCCCTGTGTGCATGTGCAGTCAGGGATTCCTCCTTCCATCCGAGTGCCAGCAGTTGAAGTAGATGTGGTTGAAGAAGAGGAAAGGGAGGAGGAGAAAAACTTAATTATTTGCCCAAATTGTGCAGTTAAGAATAGAAACAGTTTCTTGTACTTGAGAACTAATATCAGTTATCCTCACTTCTTTTTAGGAATATTCAAGGATTGGTAATCCAAGGCAGAGCATTTGTAATGTATATTTTATATCTGTACTGTTAATCAGATTTCTGGTTTTTGTAAACGGTCATCAAGCACTGCATTCTTTTGAGTAAATGAAAGCACTTTTAAATTACTTTCCTGGCTCAGTATTTTTCTCTTTTGGCTACGCTAAGTTTACTCACTGGTGATATTATGGTATAGTTACCTGAGAAAGCAGAATGCTTTTACTTTGGAGTTGCAGGTGGATTTCATACAGTCGCGGGTCAGTTTGATGCAGTTTCTTCAGAAATCTCAGGTCAAAGATGACATAACATGGAAAATTCACATTTAAGTCTTCTTCAGTGGTGTGTGTAGTGTAGTGCTCCCTCCTGTACTATGTAGACATTGACAGGAATGCAGAGAAATGATGGAAAAATGTGTCCCTTACCATCTTGTGGCACTTCATGGCAACCCAGATCTTACATTGTGGACTAAATGGAAAGACGAATATGCGCCAGTTTGGTCCTGTAATGGCAGAAGTGGGAACCACACAATGAAGAGTGGTTCATCATCTGGCATTTTGTGAAAGAGAGAAGATTGCTGGCATCTGTGAAGTGATGGAGTTCAGTCACTGGATTTTAAATGGAGAGTAGAGCAGAGTAACAAGCATCTGTTTCTGCAGCTTAAAAGGAAAGGAAAGACCTCCTAATTACTAGCACAGCAGCAATGGACCGCTCTCAGGTGGCAGAGGAGAGGGTAGATGGATGTTTGCTGGCTACCAGAAGTATTTTAATACTTTTCCCTTTTTGGTAAGTTTTTGGGCACCTGACAGAATCCTGGGTCATCTTACATCCTGATAATGTGTTGCATAGAGTTCTTCACTCTTGACTTTTGTATTTCTTGTGGTTATGGAACTAATAAGGCTCACTTTCCATGGTACCTGCACACCCAAATATTTACAAAGCCTACTTGTGCACAGGAATGCTGTTGAAGTGAATGTCTTTGGACCTCTAGGGCCGTGATACAACAGCAGCTGTTCTGAAATGGGCCCTGTACTTACCTGGATGTAATCCTGAAGCTCAGAAGGCGGCTCACAGAGAACTGGGTGAGGTGTTTGGTATGTTTTCCATTCCTCCTTTATCAAAGCTGAAGAAGTAGAGATACAAAAGTGTCTTGTGGCCATTCTGGAGCTTTAAATAGCTAGAGGTGATTGGGATGGGTGCTGGAAGCTCTGCAGGAGAGAGTACTGAAAAGGTTTCCCAAGTCAAGGGCAGGGTTTTTCTCTCTTTTTTTTTAGAAAGTCATTTGGTTGCTGTTGGTTTAACCCTTCCTCTCCCTTTTCTCTTTAGGATGATATCAAGTACCAGGCACAAATATGCTTGTCATAACTTACACCCTGCACAGAGACCCTGAGATCTTCCTTGACCTGCCTGAGTGATTCTTCCCTGAAAATTGTAAGGGAAGGCACCTGTGTTTATAGATACTTAACATTGATAGTTTGCATGTATCTGTTGCTTTGTAGCTGATGTCTCTGGTCTCACTAGGGGACGACATGGAGGAAATTTGACCCCATTTTTCCCCTTCAGTCTTCCAGTGGTTTCATGGTAGGCTTTTCAGTTGGTTGTAGGTGTCAAGGTGTTGGCAGTGGGGGTGCTGCTGTGGTGGCCTCTGCAAAAAGGCCAGAGAAGAGAACACAAATGGTTCCTGCTGGCTCTGTAATGAACCCACTGAAGGACACAGATGACCCCAGCAGCAAGCTGGTGGCACCTCTGTGAAAGAGTATTTAAGAAAGGGTACAAAAAAATGTTGGGCAGACAGAGGAGCAGGGGGAAAAAAGTGTGAAACAGTAGTGCAAACACCAAGGTCAGTGAAGGAAGAGGAGTTGGTGCTCCAGGCACCAGAGTGGAGGTTCCTCAGCAGCTTATGGAGGGGACCCATGCTGGAGCAGGACAAAAGTGTGAGGAAGAGGAGGAGGGAGCAGCAGAGAGGAACTTTCTTGTCTTTGTTTCTCACTTCCCAACTCCCTATTTTTAATTGGCAAGAAATGAAATTAAATTTCCCTCAGTTGAGTCTGTTTTACCCATGATGGTAACTAGTAAGCAATCTCCTAGTCTTTATCTTGACCCGTGAGCTTTTTCATCCTGTTTTCTTTCCCTGTCCTGTTGAGAAAGTAGAGTGAATGAGCGAATGGGTGGATGTCTGGCTGCTGGCCAAGGCTAGCCCACCACAGCTTCTAACAGGCTGTCCATCTATCACTGTCTATATGAACACACATCAAATTCATATTGTGAAGGAGTCCCAAATAATGGCTACAGAACAGAGTTCTGTTCTGTCGCTGTACAGTGAACACCAGGTTGCAGAAATCATAGCAAGGTATGCTTCATGGAGGTGAGCATCACAGCAACCAGTCTGACCCTGAAAAACATGCCTGTGGTCTCTCTCTCCCAAATGCTGTTGGTCTCCTTTACTTGTGTCAGGAAAGATAATCCACAGAAGGATTTGAAGCTGAAGTCTTCGTCAAGCTTTGGGCTTTGAAGCCTGGGGTTTGGGGATGGGGGAGGTCTCTGAGATGTTCAGCACTGACTGTGTCTTTTCAAATGAAGACAAGCTGTGGTATCTTTTCTTTGTGCAGGTAATGGTTGTTGTGGACTACAAACGGACTTTTTTTTTTGCGGTGCGAATAACTTTCTACATAAAGTCTAATCATGTTGTAGTTGTGTAAGTTGAGAAAGAGGGAAGCTCTTCCTAAGAAAACCCCTTCCTAATGGCAGATGAACTGTAGTGATTGCTAAGTTAGCAGCCAGTTAGTCTTACTGTGGATGCTGTGTGCTTTGCAAGGGATGGCAAAAACATAGGTATGTCTTGGCTGGAGCAAAAGACTAATGTAAAGAGCACACCATAGTTTTTTTGAATGTATTGTGTACTTCTCTTTTGTCCTTCTGTCAAATCAGATCCATTTTAGCCTCGCTTTGCTTTGGGTTTTTGGTTTTCTTGGTGGTAATGATGATTTTATTGATTTCTGTATCAAAGAATCCAGATGTGCATTCTAGGGACTGGGGGAAGCCTGTGTTACCATTGTGCTTGCGGGCTGATTTAGCAGCCTGACAGGATGCGTGCCTTCTGTCGGCACAGGAAGGCAGGCTTATGCTTAGGTGTAAAGCTGAGTAAAAGCAGATTTGCACTGCGTTATGAAAGCAAAGATTCACTAACCAGTAGAATGTCTGCAGCACTGAAACCCAGCAGTGAGCAAATAGCTCTCCAGGTGAAAAAGGAATGCTAAATGCAGTCTGGTGGAAAACTCTATTGATTGATGTGCCTCTCCTACAGAACATCTTCCTTTGAAACTTATAGTAAAGGTTCATAATGATTGCAAAACTTGGTGACATAACTAGGCCTCAGAGATACCAGACCTCTCATTTCTTCTTTCTTGGGTATATCTTTTTCTTGTGGTTTGGCAACAGCTGGCAACTAAGCACCATGCAGCCGCTCACTCACCTTCCCCG